GTATTTCATCGCGGTGTATTATTTAACAAAGATTCTCGACTTGATACAAAATTTGACTAGTTGAAAATACTCTTTTGGATTACCACTTTAGAAGTAAATGTGTTGGCGTGTTAATGGAGATCAATAATGATAATATTAAAATAGGTGATTCTATGCATCTCATTGCTAAAACGGCGATTTTTGATCAATGCAAAAACTTCAAAATAAAAATATTAAAGCATTACACGTGGGTTATGATTAAAAGTTGCACTAAATTTGAAGTAAAGACAATATATCCAAAGACTATTAATATGATCAACTCTTCCAATATAGAAACAGTGGAAAACAATAATAATCAACGCGGAGAAAGACAATTAATAAACTTTAGTGCGTTTGGGCAAGCAACACCACAGAACAATCATGGTTTTAACATGTTTGTTGGACAAAGACAAACAGGTTTTTTCGGAGTTTAAAATTAATCTTTTAACTTGTTTTTTATTTTTAATAACGAATTTAATACTTATAAAGTCTGATTTCTAATTAACGATATTCCAAAAATACAACAAGGAAATTTACTATATCAGTTTTTTACTATTATAATATATAGTATCGACCATTGCTAATTAAAAACCATAAATACATAGTAAATTTCTTATTAATTTTTACCATTTGACATTCTCAAAGATACGCTGGTTGTCAATCTTTTATTTTGCTTTTCAAATCAATTGGTTTGACCTATTAATCGCCTTATAACTATGACACTTCTGTGATCAACTATATTGAATGGTCTGCCGGTTGTGTTGATATTACTCGGAAATTGGCCAGAGAAGGAATTACAAACTCCACATTTTTTGCTTTCTTTTTTTTGGATGTATAGTGTCGTTAAAAAGTAAGAAAATTTAAAGATAAAACAAAAAATTATTATTTCAAAAAAAGCTATTTATTATAATTAAAAAACTAAATATATAGTTAATTTCCTCCGTCATTAATTAAAAATCCGACTTTAAAGATTTGTATTTGGTAATTTTTGTAATCCGACTGCTTCTGACTTGTTTTTTGGGTTTTTTGACAAAAATTTAGTCAAAAAATAACAGCATTTACCAACGCCAAATTATCAGGAAAAAAAGGTAAACCCCAAATAACAAAAACAGACATTATACGATATTTCAACATTTTACTATATATGGGAGCACATTATAACATAAAGAATCCAATTTCTGAGCTTTGGAACGAAAAACACGGGAAACCAAATATTTATGGTAAAGCTATGCCAAGAATTGTTTTTCAACTTATCAATGCCAACATCGAGACTTACGATGTCACAACTCTTCCGGATGAAGTTGAGAAAGAGAGTTGTTTTATAGGTGATGAAGAAGAGAGTGAGGACAGTGCATCCGATAAGGAGAAAATTCCAGAGAATAAAGAAGAGACTGAAGAAGAAGACTATTTGAGTTGTGATGAGTGGGTCAAAAAACATCCTGTTGACCTGACCGAAGAGAAGCTAAAAAAGGATGTTGAAGTGAGACAAAAAGTAAATGATGAAGAGGCTATAGAAAAAGGGGTAATCAAAGCATCAAACACGCCAAACTCAAATGACAAATTTGGCAAAATTAGGGAAGTGTTGGAAGCTTTTATTTACAACTTAGTGAACAACAAATACTTTACACCGAGCACCACACTATCGGTTGATGAACACCTTTGCGCATTCAAGGGAAAGATATGGGCAAAGGTATTCATCAAGTCCAAACCTCAGCGTTACAGCATCAAGTTTTGGGTTGGTTTTTTGGTTGTTGTTGTAAGAATAATCAATGAAGTCGGAGATTCACGGTGTTGAGACATATACATCAGTAATTGACTTGTTGTTGATATTGTGTTTGATAATGTGTTCAATGAATAACAAAAAGATGTGCTGTGATTGTGAAAGTGGTATGGTTATAAACCTACAGATGTACTGTGGAAAATGCGACAATAAGGAAGAAAATCAAGGATTTCGGGTGACGATAGATATGGTAGCTCCACAATTGTGTATGGGAAAGTTTGTGATAGTTGTATGTGACAACTTTTTCTGCAGCTTAAGATTGGTACATTATTTGGCTCAATATGGTTCAACATTGCTTGGGACTGTGCGAAAAAACAGAGTTGAGGTACCAGAAGAAGCCAAGCAAATCAAACGTTATGACCCCAATGATGATAAAAAGGCTACTACAAGAGAGGCAGATACAACTGAAGTGTATACAAAGGGTGTATGCAAACTGCTTTCTTACTATAATGAAAAGAAGAAGTTGGTGCTCATTATGACGACGATGCATAATGCTAAAGAGTTGTACACTGTTCAAAAGGAAGTGAGAGCAAAGGATGGCAAACTTGTGAGTGTACACAAACCAAATGTAATAAAACAATACAATGCGACAATGGGAGGTGTTGATAGTGCAGATCTGATGATACATACTTACACTTGTAGAAGGCGCACTTCAAGATGGAATGTGAGAATACTTTATGATTTACTTGACATCGCTGCCCTCAATGCCTACAAGGTATATCATCATCACCACGATAAGGTGGACAGGTTGAATTTCCTCAATGAATTGACAGAGTTATTGATGAAAATGATGTAAATTACTTCTTTGGTTTTATTGGTTTTATTATAGTTAATAATCTATTTATTTTCTTTGTTATTTTTCTGTTTCTTTTGTGATCTCTGAAAATCATTTCTGTATATCGTACAATATTCAAAGCGTTTTTTTACATATTTATAGGGGAGGGGCTTTGCTTTTTTTATAAAATTATTATTATTATACTAATTTTTTACTATAATATTATACAAATAAATGATGTGATTACATAATTTCCAAATCTCTGACTCACATCACCCTGATTCTTCGTTTTTGTATGCTTTATCATTGATTTTAAATTTGTAAGGATAGCATCACTCTACTGAGTTGGTATATCAATTCAAAATAAAAGAATAGAAATCTATTTGTTGGTTAGTTTTTATTGTGTATCCCTGTATAAACTCCACAAGCAACAAACAGTATATTCACTTCAAATAGCTATAAATTGTGAAAGTGATTGAGTAGAATACAAAATTTGGTTGATAAGCGTCACTATCTTATAAGTATACACATAAACTATACAATGTTTATCAATAAATCTTTTGTTTTTATTAATTTTCTGGTTTTGATTTTCATCCCAAAAATGCATTTTCAAAAAAACAAAAGCCAAAACAAAAAAAATAATCAGACAAAACAGGTTATATGTTACCATTTGTTTTATAATAACAAACAAATACTTGTCTTACCAATCATATAGAAAAATTTGCTCTCTGTATTCATAATACATTTATCTTTTTTGAAAAAGTCATATCTTTATTACTCACAACTGGAAGACACACGAAATTAAATAAACAAGGTGTCATGATCATTTAAAACAAATTTTGGTTTTACTGTCTTTATTTTACTCATTGAGTTGTTTATGACTCTTTTTCTATTCAAACTGATGTGTCTGACGATTAAAAATCAATCTTATTCATTTATTATTAAATTTAAAGGTTTTTATTGTTTATTGAATAATAAAAAACAAAAAATGTGATTTTCACAAAAGTGTATTTTCCTCTTATTTTCCTCGTTTAATTTTTCACTCTTTTTTGACAAACTCGAATTATTTTATTTTTCACTGAATTACAAAAAAAGATGAAAAAACAATTATGAGATCACAGTGTTTTTTTGTTTGATGTAATCGCTTTTCTGAAATATCAAGGAATGACATATCCCTTGTTTTTCAATAATAAATATTCAAATTGAAAAGTTATATAATTCATTTTTACATTCTGAAACTCCTTTTCGTAAAGATAATTATTGTGTTTAGTTTAATATACTATACTATTTTTTGATATAAAAACAAAACCTTTGTCAACTTGAAAAGAGAATAATCAGAGGAATCTTCAAGTCTCCCTCGTTAAAAAAAGTGAACCTTTTTTCAATAAAAATACGATTTTAGGTTAAAATTTACTATTAATTTGTAGTAAATTAAATTATTTTTTACTATTAATTCTGTTTTTAGGTATTTCCCATGGTTGTAAAAAGTATATAGTGTTTTTTGCATTTATTCTCTCTAAAATACACTCAAAATGAATAAGATTAAATTAAGTATACATTTTTTGTCAATTCTTGGTACTGGAAAAGTTAATAATTAACATCATAAAAACAAATAAGTTGTCAAACAGCTTTTTATATCATGTGAATGATCAAACAGAATATTTGTATATAAAAGAAAAAGTATTATTAAATAGTTTATTTAATTTATTCAGAAGATTTGTTGTGATTTAACAAGTACCATTATATCCCAAATACTGATCGTACTCATATTTTGGCTTTTTTCTTATGTTTTTAAATGTCAACAATAATGGAAAAAAAATATTGTTAAAAATATAAAGTGAATAAAAACAACATAAATTTGTTAAAAATATTGAAATAATAGACCAAAGGCTAAGTGATATGAATTATTTCTTTAATAATAAACAATAAACTAAGAATTAAAAATAATAATATATAACATTATTTTATGTAAAATAGTAAGTCATACTGTTTGTGATCAAAACTACAAATTTCAATTTTTTAATTAATTTTAATAATTATGAAGACGTTATAATACATTCATATTTATTATCACAATGTTATTAAACCAGAAAGTTGGTAAGTTAAAAACCTTTTTTTAGATTAATATAAAAAACAAACACAAATGGTAGAGATACCAAGCTTCAAAATACAAGATTTGGGAGAAGGTTATTTTACACCAATTGAAGTTGAAAAAGAACTTGAATCAATTTGTAAGTTAATCAACAGAGACAATGCAACAAAGTTGTTAAGAGAAAACTCTAGGTTACGAATTGAAGGACACGAGGTCTCCCTTTATGTATCAAGGG